GCCCGGCCCACCACGGGTTGGTGGGCTAAACGGGTTGGCTCACCTAATTTGAAAAAATCACCTAATTTAAAAAAATGTAATCAAATTTAATGCCTAATCCTGCAAAAATAGTATGCACATAAGCTTTTCTAGAGAAAAGTAAATAAATTCCTACACTAATTACATAATTTGAAGAAAAAATACATAAAATTGAGAACCTATGATGGTCTATGAAGTTTTATTTGGCCCAACCCAATAGCAGAAATTTTTTTTTTTTTTTTATGGGCTGGTGGGTCAGCCCGGCTCACCACGGGTTGAACCCGGGTGAGCCGGGTTGTTAGTGGGCCGGGTTTAAAATTGGCCCACACTGAAATTTGCAAAAAAAATTTAGCCCAACCCGGCTCGAACCCGTGGTGGGCCGGGTTGGCTCACCGGGCTGAGCCCATTTTGACAGCTCTACTGAAACATGTATTAAAAGATTCTCTGAGCGTTTATTCAGAACAGTGTGTGGCACTACAATCCATAATTTATTAATGTAGAACTAAAATCAGATGGTTGGGTTCCATTAAGACAACCAATTCAAATTCAATTGTTATTACTAATGATAACAAAACCTACAGCTTACCAAAGAAAAAGGATTTTCAATTTTCTATATTTGAATTTATTATTTTTGAAATTTGAATAACGACGAGCACTCAAACCAAACACAGCCTTAAAAGATGGGAAGGGAAAATGCACGCCAAAACGCTCATTTGAGTAAACTAATGACGTTGTCCGACAAAAACAATAAACTGACCCCACCACATTCGAAAATGACTTAATCTTCTTTCTTATATGTAGAGAAAATCCAAAACAACAATCACAACATTGATAACAAGTATTTTAGCATGTCTTCGAAAATTTGTTAAAAAAACAAAATGTTTATTGTACTAAAATTATTTAAAATATATTTTAATCATTAAAATGTTTAATAAAACATCAAATATTCTTTAATTAGTATTTTTTTAAAGTAAATTTAAATTTTATTATATTAAACAATTAGTATAATTTTTTAAATAATCATTATATCACATATTATAATAATAACAATAATAATAATAATTATTATTATTATTATTGAAATTCATTGATTTTTATAATAATTTTTTAAGAATTACTAAAATATTCTGTTAAGAGTGTAATGAATTAAGGTAATAGGTAAAAAGTAGAAAAATATTTTTAAAAAAAATAAAAAAATTAGAATGAATTAGTATTTATTTATTGCTTTTGTTTACTTGTAACGGTCTTAAAACGTGATTTTTTACGTTTAATTAGAAGGAAAAAATAATAATTTTTCCGTAAATTAATAATTAGACAAGAAGAAAAATAAAAAATTTACGTTTAAAAATTAAAACTAAACACGCACTTAAAAGATTAAGGAATGATTAGAAGATGGCACGTTGAGTGAGCCGTGCGCGGAGCCGAGTAAGGAATGTTGTTCAGTTTCAGTCGGGAAGCGGCTCATTCGGCTCCAAAAGCAAAGAAAGTAGCAACGTTCCATGATGAATACGGTGTCGTTTCCCTCCCGTCCAACCACATAGTTCCACGTGGTTGGCGACACGCTAAGACATGACTACGCGGTTTCGCTGTTATCTTTGTTCCACGCGACACGCGACACACGACACACGACACACGACACACGACCCTGCCGTGGCTCCTCTCTTTCTTTCTCTCTCATGGAAACCCTCAAAATCAAATCCAATCCCTCATAACCTCTTTCTCTCCAAACTCAACACCCCACCACCTCCCCCTCCTTTTTTTTTTCCTCTTCCTAAAACCGCGGTTTCCGTGTACAACATTTCTGGTCTCAAAGATTTGAATTTGCGGGCGCGGATCCACTTCCGCTCCTCCGAGATCTACCCAATGATGTCTTCGGGGACATCCTCGTACTGGTGCTACCGTTGCAGCCGCTTCGTCCGTGTCATGCTTCAAGACGACGCAGCCACCGCCCTCGTCTGCCCCGACTGCGACGGCGGCTTCATCGAGCAGATCGACCACCCCGTCGACAACCGCCGCCGCCGCTTCCCAACCGCC